TCCTTCCTTCGTTCCTTCTCTCTACTCCCTCCCTCTCTCTCTCTCTCCTTCCTTCGTTCTTTCCTCCTGTGGCCCAACTCTAGTGAAAAGGGGTTTAAACTTTAAACCCCTTCTTTCTTCGCTTCCCCCCCCCGGCCACTGGCTGGGGAAGGGGAGGGGAGGCTTTTGAAGATGCCTCCCCCCCTTTGCTTCCCCTTCTGACATCACTTCCGGTATGCTAATGAGCTATTATGCTAATAGCCTAGTAGCCCATTAGCATACCGTATGCTAATGAGCTCCTGTAGCTCTTTTTCTACTAAAAGACCCCTGACTACAGTAATGTAAGAAGAGTGGTAGAGGGAGACAAGTGTGATGTGATTGGCTGATGACTGAGAGTGTGAAAGGAGGGGTGCCTCTGAGGTGATTCTGTGTGTGAAGTTTGGAGAGAAAGCATAGTCTGTGTGACTATGGGAGTTTTTGAGTCTATTCTGTGTGAATAAGACAAACAGTTTAATCTGTGTGACTAGGAGAGTTGGAGTCTGTTCTGTGTGAATAAGACAAAGAGTTTAGCCTGTGTGGCTACATATATGAGAGAGAGAGATTAGATTGAGTGTCTACACCTGTCAGAGTGGAGTTTTGGAGTTTGAGAGACTGTGACGCCAAGCTTTGCCCGTTATATTTACAAGTTCCTTTCTTCAGCAACAGTTCAAAATAACCAGAAACCTATTTTGTTCTTTATTAAATAAATCATTTTTTGTTTAAACTTATCCCAGCAATCAGAATAGTCCTTCCTCAGGGCCACATAGTTCTCTGAAGTGCCCAGACCCTGGGTCATTCTACCAAAATAGAGAGATTTGGGATATTTTATCCCTGGTGGCAGCAGAAATCTACCAAGTTCATGTACACAAAGTGTGTTTTAAAGGTAAAACCGTCTCCCCAATAAGCAGGACGCCACAGTCCCCCTCTAAGTACACCAAACATAATCAGTTTACATGTGTGGTTGCCTTTTGATGTGTTTGAAGCCAACGCATGCTGCTCAAGTCAGTTATTGTGTGGCCCTGTGATTTCAGGGTCACCACTAGGCCCTGGGTAACCACTCGCCATTTACTGGCTTGAGAGGCCCCCAGTATTGTCACACATCCAACTGCAAACGGACACAGAGTTTAAGGGGTGGTAGCTTAACAGGAGATAAAGGGTAACGGGAGGCCTTGAGAGAGCAGGAGGAAAGAGGAGCGAGGTTCTGAAACAGCCGCATGAATTGAACCCGGGCATTTTTCAATTAAGAACCTCAAATCTTTTATTTTTTTAGAGCTTTAGCCCACGAGAGACTCTGCCGCAGCAAGTCTAGTGTAGAAACAGAAGTAAAATGGCCTACGGGCTGTGCAGCAGAGGGGCTCCTCCTCCTAGGTTTTCAGAAAACCACGATCTTGCAGGGGCATTTTTGTTACTTCTCATGGGAGAGCCCCACAGAGTGTCGATAGCTACTGGTAGAACTTGGGCGTCGTTGCCCTCAAGGGGTACGCTTCCATGCAGGCAGTTGACCCGTCGCAGATGTAAACCACTGGAATAAGCACTATCACCTTTATGAGCCAGCTCCTTACGGGGACAACATCAGGTTTACACTTACTCTAGTTCCATATTCTGTTGTCAGTAGCCAGCAAGAGCTCCCCACTCCCTTCGCGAGCATAATGAATGACGAGCTGTCATCCTCCCTGCCAGAGGTCATTCGGGGGGGGGGGGAACGCGGGGGAACGCAGTTCCCCCGGGTGAGGTACGGGGGGCGGCGCACATGATGAAGCCCCGCCCCCTGCTTCCGGCCACCCTGCTTCCGGCCCTCATTCAGCCAGGAGGAGGCAGGAGAAGAGGGAGGGTAAGTTGCTTCCTCCCTGCCTCTCCCCACCCCTGCCTGCCTGGGGCCAGGGAGGGCCTTTGTGGGGCTTCCTTGCACTCCCGCCGGCCTTGCCGGTCCACAGCCGGGCCCCTAATGGGGCTCGGCAGTGGAGCTGCAAGGCCAGTGGCGGCGGCCGGGACCGTTGGGGGCGGGGTATGTGGCTTTATGACACACTTCCAGTGGGGGCGGGGTGTGTGGCCTTATGACACACTTCCGGTGATGTCAGGGAGTGTGGCATATGCTAATGAGTTATGCTAATGAGTTCCCCTAGTTCTTTTTCTACGAAATGACCCCTGCTCCCTGCCCCCATTTCCTCTCATCAGAGCCCTCCGTGGTGCCTCTGTCCATGGAGGTTCCATTCTCTGCTGTCCTCGAAACAGCCGTTAACATAGCCACTCCATTGATTTCCAGTCCTTTCCCAGACACAGTCGACTAAGCGAGTGGCCAGCACGTGTGGTAGGGAACCTCGTAAGTTAATGCTTAGTTGTATGCAGGGCTCTTTTTGTAGAAGAAGCCCAGCAGGAACTCATTAGCATAATAGGCCACACCCAACAGCAGAAACTCATTAGCATATTAGGCCACACCCCTGACAGCACAGCTCATTAGCACATTAGGCCGCACCCCCATATTACCAGAAGTGTGGTTATCCAGCCGCACCCACCTTTTGCTTGTTATTCTCTTTACCTTGTTTGTTGTCAAAACGCAAGGCTTTTTTGTAGCAGGAACTCCTTTGCATGTTAGACCACACACTCCTAATGTAGCCAATCCTAATGAGTTTCTGCTGTTGGGTGTGGCCTATTATGCTAATGAGTTCCTGCTGGGTGTGGCCAACTCCGTTCCTGTGTGTTCCTGCCCAAAAATAGCCCTGGTTGTATGGGCCAGTTCTTTAGTCTGTACTGAAGTTCTTTTTCAGGAGCTACCATTGGCTAACCAAGATTTCTCTGTATTTAGTCCCATTCTTGAACTCCTGTTGACATTCTCTCAGGGGTTTCTTTACAGCATTGTTTTTCTCCTCCCGGACTCCCAAGTTATCAGTGGCT